GAGAGTCTGCTCCACATATTCCCTAGTCTGTAAAATAATTCTGTGTTCTTCTTATATATGTTCCCTTTAAAGTGAGGTTTGAACTATAAACTATTACTGTAAAGTAGAGACAGAGCTTCAGATCCCAGACTAAGTTTGCAATTGGAAAGAATAGTTTTTCTTGCAAACTGAGCAAATGTGATAAGGAGTCACTGTAAAGCAAATCCACCAATAGCAGTTTTAAAATTACTTTTCATACCATAGCATTAAATTAAACCCACTTATTGTCTCTTTATTCAGGTCTGAAAAACAACAATAGACTAACTCCATAATAATCCTTAGCCACTTAGAATACTTCAGTTGCGTCATGTCAATCATTTTCTTTTAAAACGAAATAATCTCAATTTATTCATTGTCTTCCTACCCAGTCTCCTCCATTCTACTGAAAAATTTGATTGTTCTATGCTGAACTGTTTCTTGCTGACCTCCATATTCACAGGTGATTAAAACTTGATACTGTAAAACTTGATGCCATTTAGACAGGGCTTTATAAAGTGACTGCAGGACATCCTTGATTTGGCTGATATTGGATTGATAGGAAGTAATTCTTAGATCTGTATCATGTGTACAATAAGGGTTTGTGATCACTATTGGAAATGTACATGAGAATGTAGAGATTGGAAATGTAGAGAATAAAGGGTGCTGTAATGCATCGATAGAAGGTGGACACTGACATAGTCAATAATTCATGGAACCTAGATCCAAAACTTGAACTTCCTGGCTGCGTCTAGACTGGCAAGTTTTTCCACAAAAGCGATCGCTTTTGCGGAAAAACTTGCCAGCTGTCTACACTGGCTGCTTGATTTTGCGCAAAAGCACTGATGTTCTCCTGTCCGAAATCAGTGCTTCTTGCGCAAATGCTTTGACGTTCCTGTTCGGGCAAAAGCCCTTTTCTGGAAATGTTTTTGCGCAAAAAGGCCAGTGTAGACAGCTGAAAACTGTTTTGTGCAAAAAAGCCCTGATGGCGAAAATGCGATCAGGACTTTCTTGCGCAAAACCTCATCTAGATTGGCACGGACGCTTTTCCGCAAAAAGTACTTTGCGGAAAAGCATCCGTGCCAATCTAGATTCTCTTTTCCGCAAATGCTTTTAACAGAAAAACTTTTCCGTTAAAAGCATTTGCGGAAAATCATGCCAGTCTAGACGTAGCCCCTGTGTTTCAAACCTATGCTTTTAAAAACAATATTCTAAAAATGTGGTTTTAAATTTCAGTGTTGGCCCTTTGAAAACAATTGCCTGGGAACTTCATATTTTAACAAAGCATTAAAAACACTCATAGAGATATCTGACGCAGACTGTGGGGTTTCAGGTTTTTTCAATTTTTTTCTTTCATATGCTTGATGCAACTGAATAGTTTACCTGACTGAAACGTGTAAGCAGGGTCAGGGTAAGCTCTACCCTGACATCTGGTGGTGAACTGTGGCAAGTGGTGCAAGGAGACTTCAGGGGCTGATCTCATTTGCATAGATACACCCAATTTACATAGACACACCCACCCCATCTAGTATGTGCTCACAGCAGTCCAAATGGTCACTTTGGCCACTGTGGGATCCCCAGTCTCTCTGTTACTGAGGCGGGGGGAATAAAAGTGTTGTTACCCTGATTATGTGAATCAAGGACAATGGAATGGTGGAACTGTTTATGACAGAGGGATTCGCCATAAACTAAGTTGCACTCGCTAGACAAGGGGCATAGGTTCTAAACCCAACCAAACTGAGAGAGAGGCTGGGGACAGGTCTTTGTACCTGGGGGTGGGGAAGGTTATTTCACAGATTTTCTTGTAAAGCAATAACCCACAATTAATTTGGTTTTTCTTCTAGCTGTAGACTAGATTACATGAAGATTTGCTACTTGGCCAACCAGAGGAAGGTACAGTGCACAATTAGCACCAATTGAGATATACATCCTGATCAAAACCCCAGTTCAGTAAGCACATGCTTGAATGCTTTGCTGAACTGCAGCTCTCACTAATGTAGGCCACTCCAGGTTGCCCATCACCAGAGTAATTCAGCACTGATTTTATATGGTTGGTTTGGCTACTTTTTCTAAGAAATCCTCTCATTCAGACAGTGACGTGGAAGTGATGAAGGCATTGCTTTGGGTAAGGCTTAATAAGAGATATCAGTGTTTCATAATCCATAAACCCTCCTTTGTTTACTAAAAAGGTAGCATTCACAAGATGTAATTACAAAAAGCCTCAGTATGACACTGTTTTTTATGAAGTTCTGGAGCCTTGGAAAGGCACTTTTAAAAGAAGTGACTTAAAAATTCATGAAGTCCTTTAAGCATGTAATACCTACATAGATATAAAATCTACCAAAAAGTGGGGGAGAACGGAGAGAAGGGCAAGTCACTATTTAAGTCTCTTTTAGAAGGGATTTGAGGGAAAGGAACATTGCCTGGAGTAAAAATGACATTCTGCCTTGTGGCTATAGAACTGCACAAGTTACTGGTGTCTGCACTTGAATCAACATCACCCACTCTCTCAGAGGCATCTACTCCTGCATTAAAAAAATAAAGAGGATGACTGCTGCAGTGATCTCTCTCACAGGAAGGTCACGGATGTCTTCTGTTGGCTCAAAAATATGGTGTGAGAGCCTGTTCCTATTCTTGGCTCTGCTATGTAGTGACATGACCATAACTCAGTGCTTTCGCAGCATGCTGGAGGATCCTTTTGCTGAATATTCTGATGGAAAGGTCAACCTGGTAAGGATCAGACTGCACCTTCCACCCCTTCCCAGGAGTGTAAGTAGGTAGCACCTAAATAATCAGAGTGTCACTTGGCTATGCAATACATATTATTATTATTATTATTATGCTGGCAACGAGCTGGCAAAAAGCCTATGCAACTCTCAAGATACACTCAAACCCTCAAAATAGACCTAAAATGGGATTTAAATGGTGCACAGTGGTGCTGAAACAGACAGCTAGGAAGCCTATTTGATCTTTAACTATGGAAGAATTAATGCCCCTGACTACTTTGGCTAATCTTGGTATGTCACCTCTAATTGTGTGTAGTACAAATTGAATTTCTTCAAAACACCCCCTTCTCCATGTTTCCCTTCCCTGGAAAATAGTTCAGGGAATCAAAGGGATTGATAAAGATATTATTTCATTGATTGTGCAGAATGTCTTGCCAAATATAACCCCAAATCCTCTACAACTTTGTGTACATGTACATGCTCCCACATACATGTGAGCCTATTTGTGTGTCCCAAGTCATCACACAGTCGCTTATTCTGATTAGAATAAGTATTTCCTGGAATTCTGTTTCAGTTCAGAAAAAAAATTATGATTCCTATTGGTTCACTTTATGAAATATACATTAACCAAACACAGGACCACTACTGTGCACACAAATGAAAACGGACAATCCAAACTGTCAACTGATTCAACAATGCCTAATAATAATAAGCAGAGGAAACTTGAACATTTTCTCTTCTGTGATTCACTTGTCAGCATGTCTGTTTTCTATAACATCTGAGATATGTGAGCTCTTCAATTATATTATTATATTTTACAACCTAAAAGTAAATTGTTTCTTTGACAAATAAATTACTCAAGTGGCTCATTCAGTAACTGGTGCACAAACTACTGACGAGACACAATCCATGTGTGTTTAAAAGTAGTTAGTTGTGTAGAATCATACTGATTGAAGTACCTATTGGTTTCAGATGGATAAAATAAAATACCCTATCCATTGTCATCAGGTCAAGAACGCATATCATCTTCCTCTGTATGGTAAAAATAATTTGCTCTATAATAGCACAAATAACATTGATAAAGTGACTGCTGAAATTCTCTGTAGTTAATGAAGCAGAACTTCTATCATTCTGAGTTAAATTTGCCCTGTGCAGAGGACTGTCACTAACGCCATGCCCCACTACAGTTCCACTTAAACCCTACAGATGACATCCCAAGCACACTGAAGTCAATGCCAAAATTCCCAGTGACTTGGGTGGGGACAAGATTTCATTCAAAGTCACTTATGTGCTGGCACTCTGCACAAGGCTAGATTTCTCCCTTTGCCTGTAAAAGCCTCATGGTCGCTATCTGTAGGACAGCTACAGATTGAACCTCTCTAGTTTGGCACCCTCTGGTCCGGCAACATCCAAGGTATGTCTAGACTACATGCCTCTGCCGACAGAGGCATGTAAAATAGGCTACCCGACATAGTCAATGAAACGGGAATTTAAATATCCCCAGCTTCATTAAAAAAAAATGGCCACCACGCTGTGCCGGCTCAGCTGATTGTCGGCACAGCACGCGAGTCAAGATTCGGATCGGTCGACAGGGGAAGCCTTTGTCGACCACTCCTGTAAACCTCGTTTCACAAGGCATAAGGGAGCGGTCGACAAAGGCTTCCCGTCGACCGATCCGAATCTTGACTCACGATCTGCTGAGCCAGCACAGCGCAGCAGCTGTTTTTATTTAATGAAGCTGGAGATATTTAAATCCCTGCTTCATTGACTATGTCGGGTAGCCTATTTTACATGCCTCTGTCGGCAGAGGCATGTAGTCTAGACATACCTTGGATGTTGCCGGACCAGAGGGTGCCAAACTAGAGAGGTTCAATCTGTAGCTGTCCTACAGATAGCGACCATGAGGCTTTAAAATTCGTTTACAGTCACCAGTCCTGGCTTTCAGTGTTCTGTGCTATTATTTAGCCTTAATTTTCCCCTAAACGTCTTCTAAGAGCCCAGTAAGCAGTGGAAAGGTTGGTAATACTGCTAGATAATATTGATCTCCCATGGTTCAGCAAATTCTGATTGGGCACTGGTCAGGTCCTGAGGATGCCGAACTACAGAGGTTTAACGTGTAGCGTGCAAGAAACTGATAAACACCTTATGTGGAACTGATATCTGTTAGCACATGCCCCATCCACACATGCTTTATTACTATAGGTAGGTAAACCCAGAAGTACAGTATGTCTCCTTGAAATAACATGATCAATTTCTTACTTTTTCTTGATCTGGAGAAAAACTTGATGCCACCTGGAGAGGTAGACGGGTTGGAACTGGGAGAGGATTCTTTGGAAGAAGACTTGAAGATCCCACTGAAGCTCATTCGGCGAGGGGACCGTGGAGGAGACTCCTGGTACGGGAAGGGGAACACTGTTTTTGGTGAACCTGGGCTATTTTTAGATCTCACAGGGGCAGAAACTGGGCTGGAAGGTCGATTTTGGAGCCCTTTGGAGAAAAAGCCTTTTGAAGGGCTGCTTGTATGGTAGCTCTCTTCTGCCTGAGGAGGGAAAGAAAAAACAAAACATTAATTCATCCCAGTTTGTTCCCTTCAAAGTTTCAGAACCTGATTCTGTGAAGATGCCCAGACTGCAGCTGGGTGGTGGAATTCCAGTGCGGACAGACACACTCACTAACTCAACACAACCTAGGGCGCTAAGAGCAGCAGCATGGAGGTTGTGGCACAGGCAGTGGCTCAGGCTAGTCGTCTGAATTGAAGGCTGCCTGAGACCTGGGTCCAAGACTAGGTAGCTAGCGTGAACCCATGGTGCAAGGAGCACAAGTCTACCTGCTTATAGTCAAAGATGACAAGCAACCTATGGAGGGCGTGGGGAGAGAAACGCAAATCAGATTCACACAAATGTTATACATGTGCACTCATTTTTATAGGAATACTAGGGGGCTGCGCACCTGCTCACTAGACATACCATCCCCCACCCCTCCATGGCCACTATGCACGCCAACCCCTCCCTCCCCCCGTCCTCATGCCCTCCACAGTAAAAGGCACCTCTCCAGCTAGACTCCCCCTACGGGGTGGTAACTCCGCACTGAGGGCCCCCCGGAGGAAGGTCTCTTTTTCATCCCCAGATTTCCACCACCCAGAGGGAGACCCCAGATCATAAGGAAGGTGCCCTTGACTCCCCTCTGAGACCCTCCCCTCAAAGGAGCCCTTGGGGGGCTTGGCTCAAGCTCCTCCACGAGGCCTAGTACAGGAGGAGGTAGCGCTGCCCCAACCTTACCCCTGGGCCTCCCTGGAGGGCAGCTCCCCCTCCCCCACTTCCCAGCCCAGCAGGGCCACGATGATGTTATGCTATTCCCCCATCCCTGCCCTTTCCCATCCAGCCACCTGCAGCCCCGCTTCTGCTTCCGGGTCCCAGGCCCCGCCCCTCGGTGGCTAGATAGGAAGTGGTAGGGATGGGGGAGAGCAACTGAGCACCCTGCAGCTGCCCCCCCACCAAGGCACCGCTGACCGCCAGTGGGAGCCAGGACAGGAGATGGCTGGGCCATGGGAGCTGGAGCCCGGCAGCAGGTGGTAGAGCAGGGAGCTGGAGCCATTTCCCACCAGGCCCTGGAGTGCAGCAAGGAGCCACCATCGCTCCCTGGCCCTCTTGCAGGGGAGCCAGGGACCAGTAGGGAGCCCAGGGTGCCCCCCGAGGAGGGGCTGGGAGAACGAGGGGGCTGGGCCAGGACCCCCACCTGCCGGAACCCCCAGTGCCCTGCCCCCCCACCACGCACACACCCAGCCATGGTCTCACTCTTGGAAGAGGGGGAGGGAATCACCCCAGCCCCAGTGGTGAAGGGTTCCCATCCTGCCCCAACACATGGACACTGCTTCCCCTTCTCACTCTACTGAGGCTGGGAGGGGGCAGGAAAACACCGTTGATGTGATGACATCACTTTGTCATCGCACAGAAAAAATATTTTTAAATAGAGACAGAGATAGACACTCAGCTATCTCTGACTCCCCCGTAACCTCTCTTTTCATGTAGGCTTCATGGAAAACGTGGGTCTTGATGGGAGATTCTCTAGTTTTGACAGAACAGATCTATTTGGATGAATTCCAGCTGCACCACTATGCAATGGACTTGACCATTTTTCTACTGAAAACAAGGATGAACGTATGGTTAAGGAACTTGGCTGGGGCTTCCCAGTTCTGTCACAGACTCCTTGTGTGTCCTTGAGACAGTCACTTACCCTAAATGCATGAGGTCAGCCCCCTATCTGCATAATGTGAATACTCCCTTTAAGTTAAATTGCAAGCCAGTGATGCCAAAGCTTTTCACCACACATCCCCCCCTTACTAATAATGGAATGTGTCCACACGTCACTGGCTTGGGAGAGGACTCAGGGCTCAGCCACAGCTAGGCCCAGGGGCTGGGAGCAAGACAGCAGCCAAGAGCAGAGAGTGGGGCCCAGTGGTCAAGAGCAGGGGCTGAGGGCAGGCAGAGGGAACCAGAGTGGGGGCAGGGTAGGGTAGCACTCCCTCCCTGCCTTCCTATGGGGGCTGGCCCACATATCTCGGTTTGGGGACCACTGCTGTAAGCCCTCTAGTGCAAAGGCCATTTTTATTATGTTTGTGTAGCACAAAGGGCACGGTCATTGACTGATACTGCAGGCACTGACACAATATCAACAAAACTTGTACTTGGTATACTACGTGAACATCTTCACAGCAGTAACATTTTAAAGGTGATTACTTACTACTTTACAGAAATATTACAGCACAATTCATATGATTAAACTGACTAAAGTTTAAGGATGTAAAAAGGTGTTTAAAAACGTAACCGTGTAACTGCTAGAAATCCCAGGGGTTACACAAGCTGCTGGCTCTGCAGTATAAAGCTTAAATAAGCTTATTTAAGCTTTATACTGCAGAGCCCACAGAGAAGCCTTCTCAGGAGCCAGAGTGTAACTTGTGGTGGGGGAGCCAGGAGGTATTACCACAGACAGGGGCTGCTCCGGGCTGCAGCAGGTCCCGGGGTGCACAGGAGAACTGCTCCAGCCCCTACTGGTTAACTGGAACCAGCAAAACATTTACATCCCTACTGAAATTACTGCCATTTAGGTTTAGTCTCAAGTATATCTTCTGAAACAGCCAATCAACAAAAAAGACTTGGTATTCACAGCATATCTTGAGAATACTGTGAGTTTAAATTTGGTAATGACCAGCGATATTAACTGAAAGTGAGGGCAAAAGGCACAGTTCTATAAATTTGAGTCTATCACCCATTGTAACCACAAAGCTGCAATTATTACTACAAAACTTGAAAACACTCACAAGTGGATAATTTCATTAATATTTTACCTAAATGACAAATTCATTAAGAATATAAAAAACAGTGAAGTGTCAATGATTTTTTGTGTTGCTTTTATTAGTTTTTCCCCCTTATAGGCTTATCTAGCGATATCAAAATAATGATAAAATATATAGTTTTAAGTGTTTGTTTATAGACAGGACTTTCCTGTGTTAATTTATCTACAAAAATGTGGTGGCAAAAAATCAAAGGTTAAACATTTCTTAAGTAACTTATCAATGTATCCTGTTTAAATATTAGTCAGATAGGAAAGAAAATTGTTCTGAAGTACTATCCAGAAGCAGCCGTATTTTTTATTCTTTTTATCACCATAATTTCTCTTATTCGCATTAAGCAGCTGGATTAGGAAGCTTAGCACGAGATGGCGAAGCAGAACATTTTACTGTTACTAAATGAAAGGAAATTTGCCTGTTATTAAATGAAAGGAAATTACTGCAGTGAGTTCTTTTATATCAGACCTGCATGCTCGCTACGGATGTGTCACTCCATCATAAGGGATAGAAACTTGTGACTTTTCCTTGGGCAACAGAATAGTACTTCTTTCTTAGAAGATTTGAAGCAAACAGTTTAGAAGATTTCAAAAAAGGATGAGTCATTTATATATGAACAACAGTAACAATTTAGATGTGATAGTATAAGTCACACATCACTATCAATCTTCATGCTTCAAGGCACAAAAGCAATCACCAGCACGGGTCGGGAAGAAATTTCTCCCACAGTATAGTCTGATACATTTGTGAGGTTCTTATTTCACCGTCTGAAGCATCCAGCATTTGTTACTTCTGGAGACAGGAAACAAAACTAGATGGACCATTTTTCTTTTTCTTTATGTTCCTTGTGATATACTTTCAAAGTAAAGCAGGAGTCTAACTCCATTTTTCCCTTTGAAAAATCTGTCTGACTTTGGTGTAGATGTAGTAAAAGTGTCACTCACCAGTTTCCCTCAGTGATAACCCCCACTCATATGGTTGTATGCAGGTGAAGAAAAACAAGCATAGTGTGAATCAGGTAGGTCTATATGCAGGTGCTCATTCAATCCAAACTGGATAAGCTGATATTAAGGAAAAGTGGGCAACATAAATACAGCAGACTTCTGATAATCCAGCACCTTTGGGACCCAGGGGGTGCCAGATTATCAGATATGCCGGAGTATCAGGAGGTACTCTGGAAGGGGGGCTATGATGGGTCTGGGAGGGGGGGCATTTCAGGCGGGGAACGGCGTGGCGTGGGGTGAACCAGGTGCTGGTGAGGGGCAGCACTGCGGGACCAACCGGCAGCACCCCAGCTGCTCTGCCCGCCCTTCCCCAAGTCCCCCTTATAGTTTCATCTGCATATGGAATTCTTCACTGCTGATCCTCACTTGGTGGGTGGTGTTGCTGTGCACTACTCAAGCAGATTTCATGTGCCATCCGAGAGAAGGCCATATGTTAGTGGCAATGCAATGTCTCTACTCAATATCATTTGTAAGGTATTTTGAGTTACTTTAGCATGAAAACACCGTACAATTATAAAATTATCTAGAAACATACAGTCAGACTTCAAAAGCACCCCCGTCCAATCCATGCATCAATCCAAACAACTGATCTCCTCTCACCAAAGTCTGTAATGACATCTTCCTATATTTCAACCTCCTCCCCAATGGCCTTTCTGCTGCCTTTTAA